CCCCCCCCCTCCCCCCCCCATCTTCCCCCACGGACTCAGCCCCTGCTGCCCTCTCTGCCCGCAGGGACCTGGGCAAGGGGGGGACGGTGGAGCACACCTTCGACAAGCACACCACCGACCTGCAGCCCGGCGCGCCCCAGCGCATGGAGCTGGCCCAGCTGCGGCGGGGCACCCGTGACACCCCCGTGTGAGTGTCCCTGGGGGAGGGGACGGAGGGCCAGACACCCCTTCGTGTTCAGTGGGGTGGTTCCCCCTCCCCACTCACCCTACTTTCTTGCAGGCAAGTGCCCAAACTCTTCCCCAAATACATCCGGGCACCCAACGGCCCCGAAGCCAACCCCGTCAAGCAGCTGCTGCCAGGTACGTCCTACCACGTCCCCCCCCCAAGAAAAAAAAAAATCGGTGTTAGGGGCACATCAGTAGCCATGCTGTGCCCTGATGGTGCCCCCCTTCCCCCGGCAGATGGGGAGGACAGCTACCTGGATGTGGAGGTGCAGCTGAAACGGGAGCGTGCAGGTGTTGGCCGAGGGGCTGACAGCTTCTTGGAGTGGTGGGTGGTGCGGCTAAAAGAGGCGCCCCCCCGCGATGGCAACATCCTCCCCATGGTCATCTTCAACGACAAAGTCAGCCCCCCCAGCCTGGGTTTCTTGGCTGGCTACGGGTACGTGGAGGGGGTGCACGGGGTGGCGGCGGTGGAGGACCACCTTGCTGCACCCCAGAAGGGGAGCGAAGCTGGAGAGTGGGATACAGGATGCTTCCCTCCTCCCCTCCCTCCTTGCAGGATCATGGGGCTGTACGTCTCCATCGTGCTGGTGATCGGGAAGTTTGTGCGGGGTTTCTTCAGCGAGATCTCGCACTCCATCATGTTTGAGGAGCTGCCCTGCGTGGACCGCATCCTGAAGCTGTGCCAGGACATCTTCCTGGTGCGGGAGACGGGCGAGCTGGAGCTGGAAGAGGAGCTCTACGCCAAGCTCATCTTCCTCTACCGCTCCCCTGAGACCATGATCAAGTGGACACGGGAGAAGGAGTAAGGGGAAGGGCCTCTAGGCCACCACCCCTTTCCTGGAGACATCACCACCAATGCCTTAACCAGCCCCCTCCCACCCCACCC